CATCCCAGTATTGTTTGGTACATACTGTATAGAATTTCAAATACATGTTTTGTAATAAAATCTAGGTAGATGAATGTTTATAATGTAGAGGCTTATATCTTTGATGGTGGTAATATGTTTTTTCTGATAGTGTTCAATGCAATATGAATTTGAAGGTGGGAAAAACCTTGGTAGGTTTCAAAAGGATTTTGCAGTTTCCATTATGTTGTTGAACTATGTCAGGAGTTCAAATCACAGGCTTACAATATGTTTCACCCCTAGTATTTCATGGCACATAAATTGTGATAAAATAAACCTCTTACGAAATATTAGATTCTACTGACTGGGCAGCACTAAAATTGGTCTTTGTTTATAATCCATTCATTATGTGGAAAATGATAATAAGGAAGTTTGGTACTTGGTATATGGTTAATTTAATTAAATCAAACAAATAAATGAATTCCAATGTAACTTATTTGCTACACCTACAGTACTAAAAGAGTGATTTTGATTTGAAATATATTTCCTTTTTTAAATTAATAAAAATGTCAGATCAGTAGTTACCACATTCTGCTAAGTGTTTCGTATAATGTTCATTTTTTTGGCGTCAAACATTGTTGTCTTTCCTTGTAAATGCTGTTATCGTTACAAGAGATCAAATTTGAAAAGATTTGCAATTGGTGCCTAGTATTACAGTACAGTACATATATTATTGAATTTATTTCACACATAAGCCAAGCAGTATAGTAGTGGTTAGGCAGTTTATAGTTTGTGTGTACAAATTTGTTTCACACTCCTTGTTTGTTGGTACAACTATCATCACTCTTTTATAATGGTACATCATTACCACAACACCACCAGTAACAAGCACCATCACCACCGCTTCCACCAACACCACCGCTTCCACCAACACCAATAACAACCAACATTACCACCACCAATGAAAACCAAACAGCACTAGGTAACGAGATATTGGACCCCATTGGAAATAATATTTATTTTTGAATTCCATGTGTTTCTATGTTTTAATGTTTGAAGTTTTTTGTAATTTTATCTGTGTTGTTATTATGTATCTTGGAAACTGAATAAAAAAAAAATTATATCAACATTTGTGTGTTTTTACTCGTATCAGATCATTTGATGTCACATGGAAAGATGACAGAACGTGAAGCAAGACCAAAGTTTCGTCAGATAGTTGCAGCAATTGACTACTGCCATTCTAGACACATTGTGCACCGTGATCTGAAAGCAGAAAATCTTCTCTTAGATGCAAATAAACAAGTGAAAATTGCAGGTAACATTAACAGTCTTTGGTTTAATGCTTCTGGAATAATAATGTATACCGTTATACTGTTCCATTGTTCCATTTCCAGAGGGTGTATGGCGCCAAATAAAGAGTGTCGCATTAAATAGAAAAACAAAAGTGCATGGTGATTCTGGTTCCGGTTCTGATTCTGGCAGTTCAGGAAATAATGACAGTAGAACTTCAATTTTACGTACGGTACAGGACCGGAGGGCGTACGGGACCAGAGGGCGTACGTAAATCAGGGATTTGTAAAACTAAGATTGGGTTAAATTTAACTAAAGAACATGAAAATATTGTAAGATTACCTATTTGACAAAGGTTTAACTTGTGAATTCCCCTTAATGGCTTTTCTAAACAACAGAGCTGTGGTGTTGTCTGGGCCTGTTGAGACAATCTAAAACCATGTGCACTGCAATGGGCAAGCCATGCCAAATAATTAGCATTCACATGCAAGACTGTACCTACTCAGCTTAGAAAGCTACGAAGCTACTGTAAGTAGGAAAGAAATTATTATGAGCAATGACGGTACTCATCTCTTTGCATATGGTTTGTTTTATTGTTATAGTATTGAAATATTAAACACACAGAAACTAAAAAATCTCTTTTTCTACATGGTGGCTCTAAAAAGGGCCGTTTGAGTATTTTGGGGTTTTTGATGACATCATCCATACAAGGCATACGTAAAACTGGGGGTTTGTATAACTGAGGTATGCAAACACGAGGTTCTACTGCAGTGTTATCCCAATTAAAAAATTTTTACTGGTAAGTTTATCCATATAAAACCAGCTTAGCACCAGGGCCGTAGCCTACGTTACGGTTAGGAATTCGGAGACATTATGGTCGTCGTCAAATGTTCAATCTACACAGTTGTTCAATAGATAATTTATGATATCTCTTGTATAGAAAGTAATATGGAACCCATAAAATATCGGTTCTCTGATCCCCGACCTTGGAGGCCCCTTGGTTAGGGAGAACACTGAACTGTATGTATTTATTCAATTCAATTTATTCAGGTACCTCTAAATGGAGAAGCACATAAAAACACAAATAATAAAGCAAACAGAATATTGAATTGAAATATTCTTCACAGTGCCATGTTATAACAAGTAAATATTTTCATGTCTATACATGTTTTTTGCCCTTCTTATAATACTATTATAATTTACTGATTATTTTTAGATTTTGGATTTAGTAACTTCTTCCAATCCGGACAGTTACTTAAGACATGGTGCGGTAGTCCTCCTTACGCAGCCCCTGAACTATTTGAAGGCAAGGAATATTCAGGGCCAAAAGCTGATGTATGGGTAAGTATGGATGGATTTATTTGGTGTAAACACCAAGGATAACCCACAAAAGTCTGAAGAAGACTTATTTCCAGTGGGGTACTTCTGGTGGTGATTGGGCAGTACACTGAGAGACAATCCCCTACTCTTTTCCGAAGAGTGTACTGAGTTCTTTGACCCGCACATGGGCCATAATGCACACAGGACCAGCGGCTTAAAATCTGGTCAATAACATAGTCATCATGATCATGATGATTAATAGAAATACACATTTTTATGAAGAATAAAAATACACGAAAGCTATACTTCTGACTTAAATTTGATTTACTCTTTTAGAGCTTAGGAGTGGTTCTCTACGTACTTGTTTCTGGAAATCTACCTTTTGGTGGTGACACGTTGCAGAGTTTAAGAACCAATGTATTATCCGGACACTTCAGGATTCCATTCTTCATGAGTTCAGGTGAGTCCATATTTGTGCACGTCTGTTTCATATTACTATTAGCATCTCAAAAAAATCTCCAACGAGAGCTTTTTTGATGTGACACGACTACAAACACAAGGAGTTTTCAGCAGAAGCTCTTTTGAGTCTCATCTGGGAGTTCATCTGCCTTACTAAAGTCTTCTCTACCAAGGTGGTATCACTCCAACAGAAAATTCCTGGCCAATGACACAACTCTTAGATTGGTCCATGCGTTTGTCATGTCTCGCCTTGACTCCTGCAGCAGTATTATCGTCTCCCAAACACAGAACTGTCCAAAATTCAAAAGATCGTAAACATCGCAGCTCGTCTAATAACAATGAGCAAGACCATACGCACATATCACACCTAACCTAAATGACCTACACTGGCTGTCCATCAAGAAATGGCTCATTTATAAAGTTCAACCTATAACCTACAAAGCAATTCACACTGAGGTGTTCCTAGTTACATCAGACAATTAATTACCATTCAATGTTCTACACATAGATCAAGATCATCCTCATAGTGTAGGGTAGTTGTGCCTAAGACAAACACCACATGTTTTACATTTGCATCATCTTACCTGTGGAACAGTCTTCTTGAATATATCAAGCCTTCAGCAACATTATTAAAACATATCTTTTCACAACATAAATTGGCTTGCATTTTCTCTTGGGACAAGTTGGGGGCCCCTGTCTTGGCCGCCATCCCTAAGAACCTGTTTGCCTGTGGCAGGGCAAATGTGTATCCCGTTCCTTTGCTTAAGCCACCTAGGTACGGGTCCAGAATCGTGCTAGGGTGGTGGCGATGTTGTGCCTTTATTTCTTTTTTGCTTTTTGTTTTAAATTTATTAATTTAATTTAATTTATTTATTATTT